GACCCTTCTGTCTGACCCTTCTGTCTGACCCTTCTGTCTGACCCTTCGTTCTTAAATTGTATTTGCTCCTTGAAACTGATTGTAAACACTGGCTCTTTAATTTCTATCTCCTTTGTCACCCAGGGTGCTCAGGATTTGTTTGCCATCCCTTTCCCTTTTTTGGGGCAATACAATGACTGCACTCAAACCATCTACTCTTAGAACTCAGCCAATTGTTCAACTACAGATTTGGCATCCCGTTTTGCTTAAAAATCTATCCACCTCAGCCCTAAAAGGATTCAACATTCTGCTTTCACCACCTCTTTAGGAAGAGAATTTCAAATCCTCACAACACTCAAGAGAATGTGTCTCAAATGGCTGACAACTGACTTGAAACCATGATCCAGATGTAGATTCTCCCACAACAGGAAACAATTTCCACATCCACCCTGTCAAAACGAGTCAGGATCTTGTGTTTAAGTCAAGTCATTTCTTATCCTTCTAAACTCTAAGATAGAAACCTAGTCTGTTCAATCTTTCCTCAGAAGACAACCCTCTCAATCTAAGTATTAGTCGAGTGCACTTTCTCTGAACTTTCAATGCATTTGTATTCCTCCTTAAATAAGACCAATGCAGTCCACATACTCCAGACGTCATTTCCCAGTGCCGTGTTGAAGAAGCATAATCTCCCTAACTTTATTTTCAACTCCCCTTGCATTTTATTAACCTTCCTAATTACGTGCTGTGCTTGCATGCTAACTGTGTGATTAAAGCACAGAATTCAATACTCTGCAATCTCTCTCATTTAGAAGTGGTTTTTTTACACTTCCTGCCTAAATGAATAATCATATCTTTATGATTATTCATAATGTTGGTCACTTAACCTGTCAAAATCCCTTTATTATCTCACATCTTTACATAAACTAAATTTGCTAATGTAACACAGGTAGAAAAGTAGCAGCCATACCTTGTTCAGTTCCTTGATCAAACTGGGGTTAAAAAGGGAAGCCCCAGCACTCATCTCTGTGGCAAATTACTCATAACTTGCCAATCAGGCAAAGACTCATTTAAACATATTCTGCTTCCTATTAGTCTATCTGCTAGTCTATCCACTCCATAATCCTTTATTTTCTGCATTATTATCCAAGTACAGTTCTTCTATGTCTATCCCCTTTACCCCAAGCATTTTGGCTCTGTCCTTGTACCTTGAACTTATCAGCTTCTAACATTTTAGCCTAACATGGGTCCCTGCTTTCTGTCTCCCTCTACTATTGAATAAAAGGAGTTAGATTTGCTCTCTTCCAATCTAACGGAACCTTCCGAGTCTAGGGAATTTTGGTAAATGAAAAACAATGCATCAACTATCTCACTAGCCACTCCTTTTAAGTCCATAGGATGAAGTCCATTAGGAGCAGAGGATCTACCAGCCACAGCTCCAATAATTTGCTTAGTAATACTTCTCTGACGATTTGCTGGAATTACTCCCTCGCCGTTCCAGAGGTCATTCATTAATCCTGTCACATTTCACAACACCACGTCTAGAATAGCCTGCTCTCTAGTCAGCTCCAGAACATGCTGTTCTCAGAAAAGCTGTCCTGAACAATCCCATAAACTCCTTTTCTTGGCAACATCTACCCTTCTGATTGACTAGAAGTCACCAGGCAAGGACATGGATTGACCTGCATACAACTGCAACTAGTCTCTAGCCTCTACAGATTCAAACCTTCCAGGCATCTCAGTCCCAGCAATCAAAAGGCCTTTCTTAAATTAAGAACAAAAACAGAAGTTGCTGGAAAGCTCAGCAGGTCTGGCAGCATATGTGAAGAAAGAAAATCAGTTAACTTTTCGGGTCTGGTGACCCTTCCTCAGAACACAAATTAACTTGGTGAATGCAGCCAGAGTATTGCAATTCATGAATCCAACTTCAAAGCACTTATCTTGGCACTGTGAGTGGTGGTACAAGATAATTAGCCTATAATTCTAAATGTCATGTTACTCCCAGCATCTGTCCCCATCTCACTGATATTCACAGCTGCTGATCATACAAATCTTGTAAGTATTTTCTCACACAGCGTAAATTCAAACACAGTGAAAGTTATGTTCTAGCACAGCCCAACAAAATGAGAGTAAAAGCTGCTGTCCTATTACTAGTTCCTCTTCGCCTTGCCCACTCCACACAGTATGCTCAAACACCAACTAGCCCATAGACTCAAGCATGTAGCCGAGATGTCAGAAGACCAGAGGGAGTGATTGGCATCAGCCTGTTCTCTTAACTCTCTCTGTAAAGCCCAGCAATGTTCTCACTTCTAATGAGAAAGTCTGCAGCTTAAAAAAGAAATTCTCCGATTACATCACCGTCAACCGACAGTATGAGCCCACATTATGACATGGTGCATACCTTCCCTAAACCTGTGGGCAACTGTTTAAGTCCAGGATCAAACCTAGGCCCTCTGGAGGTTTGAAACATCTGGTGGGCTCTAACCAGAATCACCTTTGCCAGCCTACAGACAGCGAAAACAACTCTGAAGACTAAGACATTGTTACTCTCTCTGTAATATTGCTTGCTGGCCTATCCCTCATCACTGCTATTGCTACACCACATTCTTTGAACATTATAGGGACCACTCACTGCATGACCACTTGTTATTCTTCTTACCATAATAGCAGTTTTGGTTTTTACCTTATTTTCCCCGCTGCTGTCCGTCTCCGACACCTGATACGTCAGATCAGTTTCTTCAAATCCCGTGGCACTCATCCTCTGATCCGTAGTGGGATCGGAACGTGGTGGGGAATCAGGGGAATTTAAACACGTCTGGATTAATGCCTTCCCTGTCTCACTGGTGATCATAGGCTGCAGTTTTCTTGTAGCGAAGGTATACACGTGTCCTGTCTCACTAGCTACCAGGAGGAGCACTTGGGTACCCGTTAGTGTGGAGAGCTCATAGGCCTGATAATAACAAGACAGGGAGACAACGAAGCAATATTTCATCATTCAATCACACAATGAATCTCAACTACTGAAAAATCTACTCCAGTAAAGAACTAGATAATACAACATGGTGATGATAAATCTCAAAAACAAGAGACAAGCACCTGGGATCCATGTAATATAAAAGGGCACTTAGGGCACGATGTACAAAGCAACATGGTTTTACAAATGGGCAATAACGTCTGTCAAATTTAGAGACTTTTGGGAATGTAACTAGCTAGGTAAATAAGGGGAAACCAGTAAAAGTAGTGCAGGTGGATTTCTGAAAAATGTGACAAAGTACACAAGTTCAATATAGAAGATAAGCAATCATGAATTTGAAGACAATATATTAGAACAGATGGAGGACTGATTAACAGACAAAAAGCAAACAATAGGGACATATGGAGCGTTTTCAAGTTGTCACGTTATAACCAGTGGACTTCCTCAGCTATTTACAATCTGTGTGAATGGCTTGAATGAAGAGACATAGTAAGCTGTGAGAAGGAAACCAAGGCAGCAAAGGTGGGGACAGGGTGAGTGAGTGGACAACAATGTGGTAGATGCAGCAAAATATGGGGAGGGCTAAGGTATTTCAGTTTGGCGAAAAGGTGGGAAACTTGTAAAGAGACACTTAGGTACACTTGTACAAGGGATGCAGCTGGATTGCATGTATCACAAGCAATTAGGAAGGCAAACAGTACGTTGTTGCATTGCACAGGCATTGCATCACGTGTTGTTCTAATATTCAAGCACATCTAATCAATTGTGGGTTTCTGCCAATTATGACCCAACAGGCCCTTGTGCACATGTCCATGAGGCAGTGGGATGTAAATACATGATGGAGAGCAGGGTTCGCTTTTTGCTTTCCTTCTCTGCTGTCACTCTGCCTCATAGTTTGAGCCCATACCCCTTAACAATGATGCAACTGCCATTCGGAACAATGGGTAGCAAGCTCTTCCCACTCTAATGTCAATCTGAAGCAGACCTGGAATTGGCCATCTGAGAGTCAGGAAAATCGGACGTGGTAGGCGAAACATGTTTCAAAAATCTGGACAGTGTTCAGTCTATCAGAATTGATTATGCAGGAGTTAAACCTGAATATTACATCAAGGATGACAAGATTTGTTTGATGGTCCTCCCACAGAATATGGTGGAGGCACTGCTGGTGCAATTTCTCTCAGCCTTTTATGTGTAACTAACTGAAAATGTCCAGGTCTCAATGTAGTACAATAACACTGCAACACCAACTGCTGGAGCTCTGTGTTATTAAACGCTAAAATTTATATAAACTAAGCTGGTGCCATTAATAGTGACATTTAGAGAGAAGTAGGAGAAATGCACAACATACCCCAGAGTCTCTCCTCCAATAAAAATGTTAGCCAGAATATTTGAGCAACCAGGGCTGATTGACGAGTTTTGATTTGGCAACACAGATCAAGTCTATTGTATACAGAGCTGAAGAGATTGACGGCAACTTGAAAATCTGGTGCAGAGTGGGCAATAACACTGCAATCATTTGTCTACAATGGTCAATTTCATTTTGATAAAGATGCAACTGAGGCAACAACATTTTTCACTAGATGGCATTTAATGGTCACACCAGAGCGCAGTGCGCACAGCGCACAGGGCTGCCCATTCCCTTCACACTAGCAAGTCTATTCTCAGCCTGCTCCCAGCAACATCCCTGGTTGAATGTACACTGTCCCAAAGTTATCCACAATATTCCAGAAACAAATCTATTCTCAGGTCGCCCCTTGCATTAGACTTCCTTCAGAATATCAGACAAGATGACCTCCACATCTATTGGTTCTATTATTTAAGAAAGGGAAAAGCCAGAGAACTACAGGCCAGTGAACCTGACGTCAGTTAAGTTGTTGGAGGGGATTCTGAGGGACAGGATTTACATGTATTTGGAGAGGCAAAGACTGATTAGGGACAGTCAAACATCTGCAGTTCTTGCTATCTCTTAGGGATGGTCAACATGGCTTTGTGCATGGGACATTGTATTTTACCAATTTGACAGCTCTTTTGGAGAAGACACAAAGAAGATTGATGAAGGCAAAGCAGGAGACATACGTATGGACTTCAGTAAACAGTCCAAAGTTCCGCATGGTAAACTGGTTAGTAAGGTTAGATCATGTAGAATACAGGGAGATTTGGATACATAACTGGCTTGAAGGTAGGAGACAGAGGGTTGGTGATGGAGAGGTGCTTTTCAGACTGAAGGTCTGTGTGGTCTGTGCTGCAAGGATCAGTGTTGGGTCCGCTGTTTTTTGTCATCTCTATAAATGATTTGGATGCGAGTACAGGAGGAATGGTTAGTAAGTTTGCAGGTGAGAAAATTGCTGATGTAGTGGACAGCAAAGAAGGTTACGTCAGTACAATGGGACCTTGATCAGATGGGCCAGTGGGCTGAGGAGTGGCAGATGGGTTTAATTTAGATAAATGGGAAATGCTGCATTTTGGTAGGGCAATTCAGGACATGCCATCACACTTAATGGTGAGGTCCTGGGGAGTATCACCAAACAAAGAGACCTTGGATGCAGGTTCATAGTTCCTTCAAAGTGGAGTTCCAGGTGGACAGGATTAGTGAAGACGACAACTTGATATTCTTGCCTTTGTTGGTCAGTGCATTGAATATAACAGTTGGGAGGTCACGTTGTGGCTGTACACGACATTGGTTAGGCCATTTTTGGAATATTGCATTCAATTAAGTCTCCCTGCTATAGGAAAGATGTTGTGAAATGTGAAAGGATTCAGAAAAGATTTACGAGGATGTTGCCAGGATTGGAGGGTTTGAGCTATAGCGAGAGGCTGAATAGGCTGGGGCTACTTTCCCTGGAGCGGAGGATGAGGAGTGGCTTTATAGAGGTTTATGATATCAGGAGGGGCATGGATAGGGTGAATAGTCAAGGTCTTTTCCTCAGGGTGGGGGAGTCCAAAACTAGAAGGCATAGGCTTAAGGTGAGGGAAAAGATTTAAAGGGACCTAAGGGACAACTGTTTCACACAAAAGGTGATGCATGTATGGAATGAGCTGCCAGGGAAAGTGATGGAGGCTGGTACAATTACAACATGTAAAAGGCATCTGGATGGGTATATGAATAGTAAGGGTTGAGAGGGAAATGGGCCAAATGCCAGCAAATGCGACTAGATTTATTTCTGATTTCTGGTCAGCCTGGACAGGTTGGACCGAAGGGTCTGTAAATGCTGCACAAGTCTATGACTTTACTTGTGCCAGTGTTTTGGCAGCTAAGGTAAGTTTAACTACCTCTGTTTTCTAAAAAAAAAAAAGCTTGCCTCCCCAGCCTAAAGCACAGTATTTATTCATCATCACCAAGAATGCATTATATTAGAATATTCATCTGGAAGACTGTGATGTGAAGCATATCTAAAAACGATTAAGTTTTCATCTTCTGAATCACTCAAGGTTGGAAACTTGGGAGCACGTTTCAAATGGACTTCTCTACTCACAGATTGTTTGAACTACATTCCCAGCAGTACATTGCTTAAAGAGCTAAGCTCTTCAAGATCACTGCTCCTGCGACAAGGGAGTTTACTCTAACATTATAGTTACGGCTTTTCTTCAAAACATGAGGCGCTGGTCTGGCCCATCAAGGAGTACTGTTTCAATATATATCCATCTGTACAATAAGCCCAGCTGTCTCCCCATCAGGTAGCTCTGTATACATCTACAATACCACTGTCATCATATAGAATCACAGCAACATTATCTCCCACTGTCTACACTTATACTACTGTTGCTACATACAATCATGTGTTACCTCCCACTGCGTAGACCATACCAGTCACCATATAGAAACATATCAATGTGGTACAGTGCTTGTATCAAAATCATTGTCACTATATAGAATGACAGCAACACAATACCTTGTCTATGGTCACAGTGGTGTGGGTATAAAGGACCACAGAAAGACATGACCCTGCAGTGTGTGTAACACTGTAACCATCTAGAACCAGGGCTTTTATCTCCCACTGACCCGAGATAGAATCAGCTGTGTAACAACCTCCCCAGTGATATCTCAAATCTCCCTACAGCCTCAGCTACACCTTCCACTCCTTTCCCTACCCTCCCCAACCCGCTCTCTCCCGCAGCCTCACCTTCCACTCCTTTCTCCTCTACTTTCAGCACCACTTTCCCTTCCCAGTCTCCTCTCCCTCATCCAGCTCACACTACCACATCTAACCACCCACATTCCCGCTAAGACTGCAGCAGCTATCCAACGGACTATTACTAAGGATCATTTGTTTACTTTTCCTCCCGCCCCCCCCCCAAAAGAACTCTTGCACATCGTTTAAACAGATACATCCTCTTGAATGCCTCAACCGTCTTCACAACACTTTGACAGTTCAGTGCAGACCCAAACCACGCACACTGAAACAGTTTTGCTCCCATCACTTTTACTTTTCTGCAGATCACTTAAAAATCTCTCCCTGGAACAGGAGTCACTCCCCTCCCCCCAACCCAGACAAGGAGGCACTCCTCGCCTCCTCCTCTCTCTCTGCCACCCCATCCCCTCCCCTTCTCCGGGACGGGGTTCACTGTTCCCTCCGCCACTCCACTCCCCCTCCTCTCTGGGACAGCGGTCACTCTCCCCTCCGCCACTCCACTCCCCCTCC